TTGACTNGATAAACCTCAAATTTGAAGACTTCTTATACTGTACTCTTTTATTTCTTGCCTTTTTCCCATTTGAGTTTTGGCAGTTAATGGGGAAGTTTCAAAGATGGCTTTTTCAGCATGATTTGATGAAATTGATGTATATTTTGAACTCGACTGTCAGTACATTTAAACATACGCAGACAGTCTGGACTGCGGATTAAGCACTAGCTGGCTAATAAATCTCAGGAGCTAGATATGCCTGGAGCTAGCAAGGTAGGCATCCTCTCAGATAACCAGGTGGAAATGCTGAAATGTGAATCTTTAAATATAGATTTTAAGGAGCTGCAGCTTGGGTTTTGAATACCAGGGTAATAGCTGGTTTAGGGGATAAGAAAGCAATATGATCAGCATGCAGAGAATAATTGCAAAAGGGGGGGTTTAGGATTATTATATTACAAAAAAAAAAAATGAAGAAAATGGTTTCCCTGGGATTTAAGTGTAAATCTCAGTGTTTAAATGAAGGCAATAACATTCCATTTTGGCTAGAATTTTTTTTTATTGGAGAAAGATGGAACTTAGGCTCCCCAAGGTGGGATTAAAGCATACAACACCTGTCTCTGATATACCAGTTATGGCATCGTGTGGTGACTTTACCACAAAATAGCTTCTAATTGCTTGTTATAGCATATCACATTTTTCCATTGAAATTATCTCCCCACCTTCACGCTGCCTGCTTGCTTTCCTGACAGGTACTTGTAGAGATTTTAGTTAAAATCATTGAATCACTAGGGGACTGTTTGCATTTTTTTCATATTAATTGCACCAAATGGACCTTTTATTTATGCAAATGATATTCCATGTAAAAAAGTGTATTGGAATAGATGATTAGTAGATAGGTCATGTGTACAGGCTGTGCAGCAGTATATATTTTTCTTTCTGATGGGCAAACACTCAAAGGGATGTCCTTTTTTTGCACATTTTCCAGTAAGCTGCACACATATGCCCTTTATCTGGACTGTAACTGTAAGTGCTGCAGTATAACTAACGTTGGGACAACATTTGAAGAAAAACATAAAAAAAGTGTATTTTTTTTTTTAGCTCATCACTGTTCAAATTAAACTCCTAAGTAATAGCTATTATGAACCATGAGTGTATTTCACTGTCCATGTATTGTTAGCTAAACTTTAATTTTTGCCCTGTTATTCATCAGAACATCAGAGCAGAATTAATCAGGAGGAGGTTCTGACCTTTCGATGTGAGTGCTCTTGAGCTATCTTGAAAATTACAGCCATGCTATGAATGGGAGGGTAGCATAAAAAGTGTGGAATTGCAGCCCACCAGGGTGTAGGAATTGATCTTGTATACCTATTGCTTTCAATTGTGTGGTCCACTCATTGGTTAACCAGTCTTATAGGATATAAAGATATACATTTGTGTGCACTAGGCAGTTGCAAATAGAAACCAATGTGTGATAGAGTATATATAAAAAATATTTTAACTATTTTTTTCATTCTAACTGGTTGGATTGGTACTGAAGGCATCTTATAGAAAATATGAGGTTGTGCTGGAATTAAGATTATGAAATGTTATGTAAGTTGACAAGCACTCTTGTATATATGCACATTGGCACACACCCTTTGTATTGATTGAACAATCGAGGGAAGGATTGGTGTATATAGTGATTGAGGCAAGTCAGCGCAGATGTAGACGTCATGTTATATTCTGGAGCACAACATCATTTCGATCTTAATATCATGATTAAAATTCCACTCCTGTGGTAAGATTTATCATGCTAAGAAAAAATTGGGTACAGTTGGAACACCTGCTATCATGAGGTAGATTGACTTAGATGTTTTGACATATTTAGGTGCTAAAAAAGTTCATAGTTTACTGATGATGTATACAGGTGTGTCTAACTGTCAAAAACATACTTGTAGAAAATAAAGTTAATGATTATGACATAGCATATTTGCATTCATCTTCTTATTTTACCTACATTTTCCTTTGTTTGGGATACATAGTGACTAGTTGACATGTGTAACAAAATTGTATTTTTAAACTATACAATTACCACTCGATTGGTTTTAAAAAATGTATAGATTACCAATGTTAAGTATTCCAAGGCGTTATGATTAATGCATAAAATATTTACACAGTACATTTGGCATATGAAGCTTGGATAAAAACAAAAGTATCAATAAATAAAATATTTTTAAAGGAATAACAAAGACTCTCAACTCATGCCACTTAGGGGTTAAAAATTGATATCTGAATTGAGATTTTTTCTATTGTAGGTCGTTACCAGATTTATGCTGACCCCAAAGGTGACAACCTGTTCCGTGTTGTACTGGAAATCAAGGGGGTGACTGCTGAGGATGCAGGAAACTATAAAGTTAATGCCAAGAATGAGAGGGGAGAGAGCAATGCCACAATCAGGCTCAACTTTGATAGTAAGTGATGAATCAAAATGATACCTATTAAGTAGGGGTGGGCAAATGAAAGCTTTTTTGGGAAATTTAATTTCAGACAAGTGGATTCTATGGCCATTTTGGCTGCTGAATACAAATCTAATAAGTATTTTCATTTAAAATTACATCTGATATTGGTATCAGGTGATTTTTCAAAATGGCCACCAAATGTCCCTCGAATCACATATTTCTCATGTAAAATTTTAAATATCAGTTCAAAGATGACTTTTTATATGTCTAACCATATGATTTCATGATCAATGAGTGCAAATAGATACATCATTTCGGTTGGGTCACTTCATTTTTGGTTAAAAAGAGGATTTTTTGGTCATTTTGAGGTAAAAATCACCCCAAGATCATCTTTTCTGTGTACATAAATACAAATGTTTATATGCAACTGTGGCTTTTAAATTAGGAAAAACCATAATACAACAAATATGGTCAATATTGTTCAAGGATCACATGAAACTGAAAAGTTTTGACATATAGAATAGCATAATGTTAGTTACATACGGGAATATTTACAGTAGAACACTCAGAAGCAGAGCATTAAGGATATTGTTACTCTTTATTACCATCCAGATACCGAAAACGAGTTTTTTCCTGCATATAATTATTCAATAATGTATCTGTCTTTGTGCTGCTTTGAAACAATGAAAAAACTCTTGAAAATATGAAATATCAGCGTTTATATTTTTCCGTTGCAATGTATAAGCATAAGCAACTCAAAGCTTTAATCATCTATTTAACAGCTTTCTTTTTTGAGATTAGTTAGCAATCCATATGGGGCTTAACTTCATCCCTGAACAAGATTTTATCATGATAATTGGCCAATGGACCACAAGGGCATGAGCTACAATCCCATGCCAACGTTTTGGTTTAAATGCTTTTGTTATGGAGTTATAAGTCCGTAATGACAGATCTTCTAAAAACAAAGGTATTATTTTGCTTTATCAATGATCAAATCTGAACTAAGGCTTTAAAAAAATCGCTGGCAGGGTTTTGGGGTACTAAATGGTGTCATTAAATTGGCATTGAAATAGTGATCACGGGTGTTCAGGTAAAACAGAAATTTGAGAAACTGATTTTTCAGTTTTTACCCCCAAACTGCAATTATACCGTCACCCGTAAGATGACATGTGTAAATGTTAATTAATGTAATCACTGAACACTGAAAATTTATTTATCACCAAAAAGAATGTATGTAAGGCAGTAAATAAGGAGTTTTGGGTGAACGGTGACAATATCCTTATTGTCTTCATTTATAACCTAGTCATACTAGAGGCGGAATGAGCTAGCATGTAGTCGGAATGAAAATTTCTTGTTTATTACTGGATATTTGAAGTATCTTAAAATTCTAAACGCATTCTAAATGCTTGGGTCCATTCTTGCGTCCTGTTAAAATGTTTTGGTCATTCTCAAAACTTTCGAAGTGCATTCCAAGTGGAAAAATATCAAATGGCATTCAAGTGTACTCTAACTGCACTATGAGCGCATTCTTAAGATTCTTACGAAATTCCAACGGCATTCGAAACATTTTGATCACATTCGAGGAAGAACTGAAATGGCAAGGCGCTTCAAATCTTGTCAGAATGTTCCACATTGTGCCTCCAATGAGCAGGAATGCAACTCGAATGCATCTTGATTGCAGGCCGGAATTCAGCCAGCAATGAAACCACACTTGTATGGCATTTGAAGTGCATTCTAAATATTCTCACGATATTTAGACAGCATTAACGATATTCCTAATGTGTTCCAACTACATTCGAGCTGCATTTGAAAGCTAATACAATACAACCGAAATGTGCACGAATCATTCCAGGTGGGTTCGAAGCGCATTCTAAGGTATTCTTGCTGGAATTAAGGTCAATCTGATATTACCCAACGAATGTGGTGCGAATTTTGAAAATTCTTCATTATGGCTCATTCTGCTTGATTACTTCAGATTCCAAATAAGTGTGACAGGGGGCTTTACAGTGCCTTCTGGTCTCAGTGTATTTCTTGTTGATGCTTTCATGGTGGTGATGAGATACTCTTCAACTACGCAACTGAAACTAAGTACTATTCCAAGGTTAAGAGCTTAGAGGTTGTAAGAGGTTGATGTCACCTGACAAAGTTTTACCTGTTCTGAAGAAAAGGAAAATTATACAGCATAAAATTTGTTGGTACACATCCATGAAGGTAGTTTCAGCATTGTTTTTATACCAGACTGTAATCCATGAATTCAGTATGTACATAATGGCCATTATTTATATTTATCTTAGGCTCGAAGTGTGTATTTTATGTATGTGTTTGNCGGAGGCGGTATCGCCTCTCTGATCCTCTAGTTTAAATTATATTCATAATTATTTTAATAACACTTACAATTTTTAACATTGGGATATTTTGTGAATATTAGTTGTTAAGTATTGTAATCATGTAGTATTTGCTGTAACATTAATGCCATCTCTCTTCCTGTTAGACTAGCATCATCAATGAACAATTCATTCATGTTTCATTTTGATGCCTGGAAATAGATACTCACATTTTACAATTTCCTTCTTTTTTTGCCAGACAAGACGGAATAGCCCCACAGTTCACACAAAAACCATCCATCAAGCAGGAAGATGGTGGCAAAAAGCTTGTGTTTGAATGCCAGCTTAAGGCACAGCCAGCCCCCACCATCCGCTGGTTCAGAGACACTGTGGAACTCCATGATGAAGGTAAGGAAAAGTGAGAAAGAAATAGGCACATGACTGTAAGGGATCTTTCCCAGACCCTATTGTACTAACTGTGGATCGATATATCTACGAGGAGATTCTTGCTAAATTGCAATCAAATTAAGTGGCTTAGATGTCTGTCACGCCTACTGAAGCTGTAAGGGGGTAATTAATTATCATTTTGCAGCTTTAGTAGGTGTGCCAGACATCTATGCCACTTAGAGATGGATCGATCCTGTTAGATTGATCTAGTTATGGGAACCAGTCTTACTCATTGCAAAGCACCACTCCCACCATTTTGGACTAAAGAGATGTTTTTTTTATAGCACATGATAATATATACATACATTAGAGAGCATGTACCCATAGAAGCAGACCAGACTGTTTCCTATTCCTATTGACTTGTCTCATAAACATTCCACCACTGTAAACGTTTTCTTATTTTCTACACATAAACATATTATGTACCTTTTATTGCCAAAATAAGCAGAAGGTGAATGATTACAGTTAAGCAGAAAATGTTGTGGGACAGAGCCACATAAATTGTTGGCATTGTTGCCAAGAAGGTATTGTAGGAAAGGTTCTTCAACATAGATTTTTGATTCTGGATAGATGCTGTATTCTGTTTAAAATTTTTGACTACCCTTTTGGAGCAAGGGCTGTAAAATACATAAATGATTAGTTTCTGGATATAATGGATCTTTGAAGTGCATAGAGAAAGAACAGTTGGCATATAGAGCACATGAGCACAAGATATTTCTTTATTCATAGTTATAATGAGAGATGTTGTATTCACATTTTCTTTAAAATGATAATAAACCTCAAATTTGAAGACTTCTTATACTGTACTCTTTTATTTCTTGCCTTTTTCCCATTTGAGTTTTGGCAGTTAATGGGGAAGTTTCAAAGATGGCTTTTTCAGCATGATTTGATGAAATTGATGTATATTTTGAACTCGACTGTCAGTACATTTAAACATACGCAGACAGTCTGGACTGCGGATTAAGCACTAGCTGGCTAATAAATCTCAGGAGCTAGATATGCCTGGAGCTAGCAAGGTAGGCATCCTCTCAGATAACCAGGTGGAAATGCTGAAATGTGAATCTTTAAATATAGATTTTAAGGAGCTGCAGCTTGGGTTCTGAATACCAGGGTAATAGCATATAGCTGGTTTAGGGGATAAGAAAGCAATATGATCAGCATGCAGAGAATAATTGCAAAAGGGGGGGTTTAGGATTATTACAAAAAAATGAAGAAAATGGTTTCCCTGGGATTTAAGTGTAAATCTCAGTGTTTAAATGAAGGCAATAACATTCCATTTTGGCTAGAATTTTACCTGAGTTTTTTTTTATTGGAGAAAGATGGAACTTAGGCTCCCCAAGGTGGGATTAAAGCATACAACACCTGTCTCTGATATACCAGTTATGGCATCGTGTGGTGACTTTACCACATATTAGCTTCTAATTGCTTGTTATAGCATATCACATTTTTCCATTGAAATTATCTCCCCACCTTCACGCTGCCTGCTTGCTTTCCTGACAGGTACTTGTAGAGATTTTAGTTAAAATCATTGAATCACTAGGGGACTGTTTGCATTTTTTTCATATTAATTGCACCAAATAGACCTTTCATTTATGCAAATGAAATTCCATGTAAAAAAGTGTATTGGAATGGATGATTAGTAGATGGGCAGCAGTATATATTTTTCTTTCTGATGGGCAAACACTCAAAGGGATGTCCTTTTTTTGCACATTTCCAGTAAGCTGCACACATATGCCCTTTATCTGGACTGTAACTGTAAGTGCTGCAGTATAACTAACATTGGGACAACATTTGAAGAAAAACATAAAAAAGTGTATTTTTTTTTAGCTCATCACTGTTCAAATTAAACTCCTAAGTAATAGCTATTATGAACCATGAGTGTATTTCACTGTCCATGTATTGTTAGCTAAACTTTAATTTTTGCCCTGTTATTAATCAAAACATCAGAGCAGAATTAATCAGGAGGAGGTTCTGACCTTTCGATGTGAGTGCTCTTGAGCTATCTTGAAAATTACAGCCATGCTATGAATGGAAGGGTAGCATAAAAAGTGTGGAATTGCAGCCCACCAGGGTGTAGGAATTGATCTTGTATACCTATTGCTTTCAATTGTGTGGTCCACTCATTGGTTAACCAGTCTTATGAAGATATACATTTGTGTGCACTAGGCAGTTGCAAATAGAAACCAATGTGTGATAGAGTATATATAAAAAAATATTATAACTATTTTTTTCATTCTAACTGGTTGGATTGGTACTGAAGGCATCTTATAGAAAATATGAGGTTGTGCTGGAATTAAGATTATGAAATGTTATGTAAGTTGACAAGCACTCTTGTATACATGCACATTGGCACACACCCTTTGTATTGATTGAACAGTCGAGGGAAGGATTGGTGTATATAGTGATTTGAGGCAAGTCAGCGCAGATGTAGACGTCATGTTATATTCTGGAGCACATCATCATTTCGATCTTAATATCATGATTAAAATTCCACTCCTGTGGTAAGATTTATCATGCTAAGAAAAAATTGGGTACGTTTGGAACACCTGCTATCATGAGGTAGATTGACTTAGATGTTTTGACATATTTAGGTGCTAAAAAAGTTCATAGTTTACTGATGATGTATACAGGTGTGTCTAACTGTCAAAAACATACTTGTAGAAAATAAAGTTAATGATTATGACATAGCATATTTACATTCATCTTCTTATTTTACCTACATTTTCCTTTGTTTGGGATACATAGTTAGTGACTAGTTGACATGTGTAACAAAATTGTATTTTTAAACTATACAATTACCACTCGATTGGTTTTAAAAAATGTATAGATTACCAATGTTAAGTATTCCAAGACGTTATGATTAATGCATAAAATATTTACAAAATACATTTGGCATATGAAGCTTGGATAAAAACAAAAGTATTAATAAATTAAATATTTTTAAAGGAATAACAAAGACTCTCAACTCATGCCACTTAGGGATTAAAAATTGATATCTGAATTGAGATTTTTTCTATTGTAGGTCGTTACCAGATTTATGCTGACCCCAAAGGTGACAACCTGTTCCGTGTTGTACTGGAAATCAAGGGGGTGACTGCTGAGGATGCAGGAAACTATAAAGTTAATGCCAAGAATGAGAGGGGAGAGAGCAATGCCACAATCAGGCTCAACTTTGATAGTAAGTGATGAATCAAAATGATACCTATTAAGTTTTTCAGTGTTGGTGCCAAAAAAAGACAGGAAAGAGCAAATATAATGGTGTAATGGTACCCATCACTGATAGTAAGAAACCTAGATGGTTTGCACCTTCAGTTTGTGCCTGTATTCTAGACTGTTCGTTATTAATTGTTTTAAGTGTCCGTGAGAGTATTACAAGCATACATGTGTGTAAAATGGCACTGGATAACATTCTCTAGGTGAAGTTAGTGTCTTTTTTTAGAGTAATTAGAATTTCTGTGAATAAAAGCATGTATCTAACTTTCTTTTAGAAATCTGTTGTGGAGTTTTCTCTTATAAATTATTATTTGAAAAATTCTTTTTTCTTTTTGTACAATTTTAGCTGTTTTCTCTTTAGATACTAAGCTGGGCTGAGCTGGCATAATTTCCCTTAATTTTCGAAAACCTTTTTTGCCAAATGTGCAAACTTATTGAAGTATAACTACACATATCAAATTTTAATGACTCAAAGGGAATGGAACTGATCCATTGGTCAGCATTTGATATGCTAGCTTAAGCCCAGCTCGATTATTTTAGCTGTGCATGTTAGATTTCCTGCATTGGCGTTTCAGGCGAGGAGGCTCCTGGCAAACGTGGCCAGAGACCTTCTTTCACACAGAAACCTGTCATCAAGCAAGAGGGAGAAAATATTGTCTTTGAATGCAAACTTAGTGCAGATCCCAAGCCTACGATCACTTGGTTTTTTGGAGACAAAGTTGTCAAAGATGGTGGAAGATACAAGATCACAAGTGTCGCAGATGGGAATAACTACACCCTGCGCTATGTAATTTCAAATGTGAGCAAAGAGGATGGTGGAGAATATAAAGTCAGTGCCAAAAATGCCCTTGGGGAGTCAAATGCTACTTTGAGCCTCAACTTTGAAGGTACCTCTTGTGTTTCTTACATTTTTATTTTTACTTTGTGTCTTATGTGTAGGTAGCAAGGCATAATATATATGGCATGTATTTGTTGGATGTTTTTTTATAGATAGACAACTAACCACCTGTCATCCCAGGATAATTGTTTGAGGATGAAAGCTTAATTTAACAGTCATTGAAGAATAAAATTTCAAGTAGGGAATCAAACTCAAATGTGACATTTACATGTTTGGCATAAATTATAATAACCATAATTAAGTATAAGGTTACTTATTTATTCAAACTTTCACGTTCATGTAATGTTTACAGTTTCATTTCTACTTGTTAGAAAGGCATGTCATAACTCAGCTTGATTGAAAGAAAACATTCTGTGAAGTCTGCACAGGTGAAAGGTGACAGGTGGTTTGTGCTAGGTTGTTGTATAGGTTCAGTACACAGTCCGTAGTTAGGAATCTCTTTTTGTTATATATATATTTCAGTTATATATATATTTCAGTTGGTCCTGTAGGAAGCACAATTTAATCACTTATGCTGTTTTTGACACCTCATTTGGGACCCATTAATGGGTGTTTTCTGCATTGTAATTTTTAAGCAACAAAGTAGATTTAAAATTCAGCATAATGTGTTCAAGCTACACAGATGCTTTTGTCTTGTTTCATTATTTCAGTATCCTAGCGGCATTTTACAGCATTTCTCTGTACAACTAAATTGAACTCAGTAAAGCCTGAACACATACATGTACCCAACACAAGCTTCTTTGTTTGGTTGTAGTCTTTATTATGTTTTGTGGCTATTTGTGTATGAAATATCTGTATTGAATTTTGTTTATAGTGCTAACTACCATGTTGATGAGGATACAAGGTAAGGGGTGTAAAAAGGTGCTTATGTCATATTACCCACCCATTATGCATGACAGAAAAGAAAACTATATCCTTTTAGTACCTGGACTTTTAAACATATGTCAGTACTATTCTTTACCTTTTTGTTGTGCAATTCTGTATCCTAAAATTATTCATACATCTATGTATATTTGTATATGTATATGTTGCAAAAACATATTTGTGTAGCTATCTGCTAACAGATGCTGTGATACCTAAAAGAATAATGCAACATTTACTCATGAGCCAAATGAAAGGAGGAAGTAGACAGATGAGCACACCTGTCACAATTGAAACATTGTGTTGTTTTAGTTGTGACAAGTGCTTTTACCAAAGAAAACTTGTAGCAAACAAACATTAAGATGAAAACTGTCATGAATGAAAGTGCATTTATTTAAAAAGTTAAGCATTTCTGATGCCCTTTGTTGAACTTGGTGCCTGACATGTTTACTTACAGTTTATGACTTGGTGTGCAAAAACACCCTCGTTTGATACCAACTGTTTTTGCACATGCTGCTCCATGTGTAGATGCTATTTAGACCTCTTTAGGACCAAGAAAAGGTCTCAAAAGATACTTTTCTGTTTTGAAAAAAACAACTTTGACCCCCTCAAAATTTGATTTACTTAAGGGGATAACCAGATCATGATGTTTACCTGGGTGTGTTGATTATCACCTTATGTTATTGTTCACAATTTCAACCAAGGAATGGTGTTTTCATTCATTCAGACCCAACTTCCTTTATCCCATGAATAAGTTGTCATGTTGTTCTGTATTAAAATAATCTGTGAAACCCTTCATCTTTTTCTTCCCAAAACGTATAAATCAGTTGAAAATCCACAGTTAACATCAATCCAAATGACCATTCCATTTTATAGTTACAGTCAGTTATTGACAATATCTCACTGTTGATTTTATTAATCAAAAATATTTAAATCCCTGTTTGTAATGGCATTTTCATCCCACCATCCCACCATGAGAAAAGTAACTCTTCTTTCACATAGGAATTTATTTATTTATTTATTTATTTATTTATTTATTTATTTATTTATTTATTTATTTTGTAGGTAGTTAACTTTGGTTATTGTATATTGTTTTTATCAACAATGGGAATTTAACCTGATGGTATTGTAAATTTCAGGGTAAGAATGTCACAATAATTTGGAAGAAACTTGTTTCATTTCTGTATTAATACATCCAAAAAAGGAATACTGAAAATGCTGAATTTAGTTGTTGTATATTTCAGGTCAAGCTGAACAGCAGCAACCTAAACAGTGAGTACTATTTGTCTTCTCAACTTTTGTCATAGTTTTATATATATACCATTATGACTGATATATCTGGTTTTGGTGTCTGCCCTCAAAGTTCCAGGGGAAAGTATATGCATGCACACACAGGCATGTGCACACACACACACACACACACACTCTTAATTAAACTGATACTGTGCGTATTCCTGGTGAAGTGAACTGGTTGCGCCAGTATACAATTACACATTAGTCCTAAACTTGGCTAGTCTGAAGGTTGAGGTTTATCTTTCTCTGGGAAATTTTATATGGTGGCACAAAGGTCATTGAGCCAGCCAGGTAGTTAAATGCAGACATGCAGGGCTCTCATCCTTTCACAAATTAGCAACAAGTGCCCAAAGTATCTGGAAAGCTGCACCCAAGTATTTACCTTACTCAGATAAACAGTCCCTGCTGCTTGACTGAATCTGACTAAAATTGTTACTTAGCCTGACCACAAGGAAAAAATGGATATGAAAATGGTTGATCTGAAGATTTTTTAAAATCAGATATTAGATTGCAATTACCCTAATAACTATAATGTTCTCAAATTTTGCATTTGTTTTTGTACATAAGTGCTCAAAATATGTTATAGCTTCACCGTTTTGTAGAATTCAAATATCATATTTTGGGAATTACGAAATGATGTTTGGTCTTTCTCCAAGTTATACTATTTAAAAACTATATGGTGGCATTTGATTGAGTTTTAAGCAAAATTTTGACTTTAAATGCATCTTTAATGAAGAATGAATGCATAAAGTAGAAGTAATATATTAAAGGGATAATAACTCTTCATATGAGATATATATTTCACAATAAAAACATTGTGAATAACTCATAGAAATATAATATATTCCATTTTACCACAAAAACGGCAGTTATAGCTATTATTCTGATATGTGAGCTTGTCTTTAGACCATGTGACCTCCATTGATGGATATACTCTGTTAAAATCTCTTAAGAGATTTTAACAAAAAACCAAACTTTTTAGAAAAAAACCAGGGACTAACTTTGAATGTAAAAATAGATTCATTTACCATTGGTAAGTATGAGAAAATTGTTGTTTACTCCAGGAAAATTCATTTTTTGGCCGAAACGAAGAGTTATTATCACTTTAAATTTCTGATAAGCAATCAAAGTAAATAAATTAGGTCCTCGTTTTTCTTTGATATTGCAAGATAAACACCATCTGAATCAGGCCTACCCAACTACCACACTACACACACCTTGAAAATGGGTAGTGTGGTCTGATCTACCGGTGAAATCAGGATCATTTGGTGCCGAGTCTGGTAGTTGGGTAGGCCTGTGAATAATTGTATATTACGTGATATGTTTCAATGTAGGTAGATTACTGAACCACTCATAAAGTATGCTTTTAATTGTGTTTTAGTTTATTATATCCTCCTATGCAAAATAATTTCATAAGAATTTTTTGTAGAGAAGTAGATTAGTTCTTATGTGCTTTTTACCATCTTGTTTCTACTCAGGTCACATGCCATGAATATTCTGCAGGTCTAAGGATAGATCTGACCTGCTGAATAGGATGAAAAAATATTTCACATATCGCTTTTTTGCCCTGTTTTCAACCCCTGTAAACAGATAAGTTTTTTCTAAACAACAAATTTGACAGTGGTTTATCATATGCTGAATTCTAGCATGTTTTTTTGCCATCTTGTTTTCTTTTCCTTGATAACAGGCCATTAGTTGGAGGCTTCAGAGGAAGAAGGATAGCTGGATAGTTAGATATTTATTTCCAATAAGAATAAGTAAATTTCATTTTGGACTGAAGCAGAGGGCAGATATGATAGTAAAACTGGAAATAGCTCTGTCAGTTGTAGAGTTTACATTTCTCCAAAAGCAATCAATTTAACGGCAGATATAAATCTTTCAGAGGCATTTTTCTCAGACTTTTTTATGTTTATAATGGTCATGGGAAATGAGCATTTTACTTAAGTCTGACATTCTAAGATAGGAAAGCTAGTGGAATATATGTTCAGCTTTATCATCAAATCTTCACCTAAGTGCATATACTTGAAAGGTCAAATTAATTTTCTCATGCCATTTTACTTGAAAAAAAAAGAGATCCAGATGTACACGCGGCCTGCGTATACACACACATACACTCACACGTACATACATACACTGTTCCATAAGTTATTTGGTGCTTTATATACATCCACAATTCAAGTAAATTCACTGCTATTTTCAAAAAACTTAATGTTTTGTTAAAAATATTTTAAAAGTGTTAACTTCATGATCAGTATATGAAGATATCTTGCTGTGGATGAAGACCAATAATTCAGACTTATGTTATCACTAAGGGCCCATTTACACTGGACGGCGTCCTTTCTGCATCCAGCAATATGGCCCCGTTTGAGAGTAAAAAAATGATAATACTTTACGTGCCAACAACTGGCCGATCATTGAGCATTCATTCTGATACCAAATCAATGCTCGTGCCTCCTTTTTACGACCACAGCGATGCCAATTTCATGGTCGCAGAAAGGACGCCGTCCAGTGTAAAGGGGGTATAAGCACCATCTCCTGATAACTGTCAGGCATTTTTCTGTAACGCTAGTTTTCATTACCATACTGTTCAAGTAAAGACTTCCTGCCAATAACTATGTTGTTTTTTAAAGAATTTTCACAGAAAAAGTCAGGGTTTTTTTATTCGAAGAATTAGAAAAGTTTCAATAGAAATAAGCCACTTTATTTAATATGGTTAAAGATGTCAGCACAGCTGTAATCTTATTTTACAAATATTTCTGGTTTTAGAGGTTTTTGTTTTATTATAGGTGCATTTTTTCCTATAGTTATGTAATCAATTAATGTAATGTTATCAGTTTTTCATTCACATTGGATGTGACATTGTTTATTTCAAAACTAACTGTTTTGTACATAAAGAACATCCATGTGGGATATAAATTACAACCTAACTTAGGGTGTGGTTTAGATAAGCCAGTCAGATTGATATCTTCCATCTAGGAGACATTCTATCAAATATATTTATATTTTAAATATCCCATTTGGCATTATAGAAGTGTGTTTTTGTAACAAGTGGACTGTCTTCCAGCTTACTTCACATACATAGAGAAGGGTTGTTGAAGGTTATAGCATGGCTAAAAGGGCAACAGGAAGGCTCTGATGTCTATTGAACCCAGCAAGGGGTCTATCAGGGGCAATTTGGATTGAACCCAAGTCATTAACTTTGAAGGTATCTTGTGAAGATGGAAGGCACTACACTATACCCTGCCTTCCTCCTGTCCAATCCTATAAAAATACTGAAAGTATTCAAACTACTTGCAGATAGTAAAGGGGAGATATGAAGATTTTAAAAGGGTTTAAAATTCACACCTCTAAGATGCATTTTTATATTTAAACAGAGATTACTTCAGATCTGATATCAATGGATATGATTTCTATCCAGATCCAATCATTCCTAGGGCTTTATCCATATTTACTCCATTCCCAGGGTCCAACCACAGCTTCCACATAGATTCTTATTTTAGGTTTTGATCATCTATTGCTGAGAAATCAAGTTTCCACTTCAACTGTCCTCGTCGCAAGGAAACACTAAAGTATATATTATTATTATTATTATTGACTTTTAAAAACTGTCTACCTGTACTTGGGTGCTATATTGCTTCTGATATTATTTTTAGTGGTGTATCTGCTCTGTTGTGATTTTTAAATGATGCCATATCAAAAGGACTCTTGTAAATGCATTTTCTGAATGAGCAATGGTTAACCTCTTCTACCAATTAATATTGTGTTGTTACTTAAACTTTTTTGTTGATGTGAACACCAAATTTATTGACTAGTGGCAGATGAATATCGCTGGATTCCTTGGAACCACCCTCCTTTTTACACATGTAATTGAGGGCATCTTTCTGTCCATACATGACATTGCCACTGATCACGTTATTGCCCATGTGTTTTTTAAAGAAATATTAACACGCTGTACATACAAGTATGTTCAGAATCAGTATATATATATATATATGTAAATAAATAATGTGTAAATATACAAAGATCTATAGACAGATATTATCAAGTAGATTTTCACCTGGACCTCCTCGATAAAGCTTCAACATGTGTTACCCGTAGTAAATAGTAGTGTTGAATCTATGCTCACCTTTCTCACCATACTTGGTTTTGTTACCTGATATTGAAAGCCTCATCTAGCATGTTATTACACACAGTGGGGAGTAGAGGTGGTCATAATCTGGGTTTTTTTCTTTTTTCAAAGATTTAATTTTTTTATGAAGTTGGATCAATGCACAGTAAGACAGTTCAAGAAGACCTCTTAGTAGGTGGAGTGCATAAGGGTTTACAAGTCTAGATTTCTGCAGAGTTGGTTGTGTTCGTTGTCTTATTATTTGATAGAATAGGTATTATTTCTGTCTGTTGGGAGATTCTCTGATGTTTTTGCACATGCATTCCTGTATATCTTGGAGCAGGTGTGGTACATAATAAGTCACAGGAGTTGTGAAGTTTGGGGGTTGTTTTCTTGATAGTAGAGGAATAGGCTGAAGTACTATTATTTTAACTGTTGAGGATATCTTATTTTTAATGATAGACTATGAATTTAAGGATTGGACCTTGATTATCCTTGGAATTTAGCAGGTGTATTGTAACAGAAAACACAGGAAGAGGCATGCTGAGGCATTTGTCCAACAGTGGAACACTTAAGGCTATGAATGAATAACTGATAAAAATGATTGTATATTTGTTGGCCAGATAGCATGTTATTTTAGTTTTTTGTTGGTCTTTCCATTGTGAAATTCTGCACATCAGATCATTTTCTAGGCTTTCAGCATGTTCATCTCTCTGTCTCCCTTTTATTTCTTTCTTTTTGAATAGGTGGGGTGCAGAACATTGAACATACATTTGAAAAATGTCTTTCCCATTAGTGATTTCATTAAAAAATGACCAATTTAGAAATAATTTGATTGATATTTAAAAAATGTTTAACAGATTATTGTACGCTTCTAACCACTGGAAAGTCACATATTTGTTTTCCAACTTATTGCCTTTTATCAGTATTTCACAAGTAAATTACTTTATGCCCTGCCATGCCCATGGTGCAGCATTGGATATTCCTGCTGTTATTTTTAGAAACTGCAATGCCACTTAGATCAAAATAGAACATTTTCATAGGTACACATACATGCAGCCACCCAAAAGTTAAGGGAAGAGAAAAATTTTGGTAGGCATGCTGCTATCTGTTCCTAAGAAATCTTGGAATCGATGGAAACAAACTCAAATATTCTTTTGATTGATCACACCTAATATCTTTGGTGGAGTTGCATACTTCCAGGTAAATCAGGCCGCAAATTGTCCGTAAAAACAAACCAGTGTGAGTTTAGTATTCCAACACAAAATCAACCTTTTTTACCCAAATTGCTTCCTTAGGACAAAAAAGTGGGTGCATGCCCTGCCCTGACAGGTACACTGTTGCCTTCAGATATACATGGAATGTTCCTTATAATGTTGTTGTGCATAAGATTTGTTTCAGGTGAAGGCACGGGTAGCATACTTAGATATGAGACTCAGTGTAGTTTGAAAGCAAAACATAACATTCCAAAACAAACTTAAATCTGTTGGTTAAAGTTGTTTTCTAGAATCTTGGGATAAAATAATGAATGCATGCTAAGCATTGACAGTAACATCTGTGCCTTAGGATACTCATGGAATGTTCCTCAGGTACTACTTCTAGGTGAAAATACAGATAAGGTGCTTAGATACCAAGTTAGGTGTTGCCAGTTATTTTTACCACAAGTGTTTGAATATTTGGCAGTCTGCTAACTAGAAGTGAACCACAACTTACACAGGCTGCACCACAAGGAAAAAATAAAATACTTGCTAAAAAATAACTTAAAATTTTGTTAAGTGCTCTGAGATGTTAAGATAAGGAGTTTTGATACAATTCTAAACTGAGGTCAAATGTGTTGTTTTGTCGACCCCAAAAAAGGTGATGTCAACTGAGGTGTAGCCTAGGTAGAAATCTCCCTTCTGAGGTTTGCAAAATAACGCATTAACTAAGGGCAAACTCTGTAATAGTTTTATTATATAATTCATTGTCTGAATGCCTATGTCCTCTAGGATAACATCACAAGTTGACAAATCGCTGTCAATGACACTGTTGTCGTCTGTTTGATGTGTGGTACCTTTACTTTGATTGGAAAAAATCCACAGTACCATCATCAGTCAATACTTAATTTGGTAATGGCATTGTCTGTCACCTTCACATTTGTCCAATTCACAAATGCATTAAAGATCATTATCTAAGCAATTATAATGCTTATAAACTAGATTGGAGTTGGAAAACAGAAAGATCCATTATGTAACTGTGTAAAGCAAAATACATTGATAACCTTTTCATTCTGCATTTGAATAGGATGCTCTTGCCATAGAAGAGATATGCCTTACCATATACAAGAAACTTTTTTGCACTAATGCATGTTTCAAGACACTGTACTTTTGGCTAAAAATTGCTGAAAATGTTGAATGAGGGATTTTTAAACAAAATGTATCTATGACTAGGTAACAGATGTAGGAACACATTGAGGAAAAACACCAATGTATCAGTCATAATGACATGACGAATACAATACCAATATTGCCGCAGATAACCTTAACAGCTAGAAGACAACACTTTTATCAGATTTAAAATAATATTGGTAATGGCATAATGGTTAAATATGGAAAATACTACTGCTTCATATAGTTTGTGTTTTATTATATCATTATCCTTAATCATGACCATAACTTGATACCAAAGTAAGGCTTAAGGAAGACAGGGCTTTGCACTTGCTTGGAAATTATAATTGTTTTTTGTTTAAATTTATAAAATGACTCTATATCCTTGGTGTTCCAGGGAAGGCAAGGCTCCACAGTTCAAACAGAAACCCTCCATCAAGCAGGAGGGGAAAACGCTGATCATGAGTTGCCTGGTTGAGGCAGCACCAGCACCGGAAGTCCAATGGTTTCGGGGAACAACTGTCGTAACTTCCAGCGGCAGATACTCTGTCAGGATGGTAGAAGCTGAGGCCAATACCTATTGGTTGTATTTAGATATTAAGGTATAGATCTAGAACTCATGTATTGGATGTGTGCATATTGTTGGAAATTTTGATGCATAAATGGGTGAACTATGATTGAATGAATTGATAAAAAAATTAATGACATTTCTGGGTCTTGTCTAGAAATCTGTTGATACTTTTGTCAGTTATAATAATTAGTGTATGGTATAACCAGTTGCACTCATGTGTATATACCTTGTCCATCTCTTTAGGAACCTAAAGCTGAGGATGGTGGCACTTACAAATGTAATGTAAAGAATGCTCTGGGTGAAAGCAATGCAAACATTACCCTTAATCTACAAGGTAAGCAACAAATAACTCAAAGGTTCCATATTCATTTGTCCATTTTTTTGTAAAATGATTTTTTTTTTTTGGTTTTGGTGTTTTGGAGTGATGATCATAGTTCTGTACTTGAATACTGTAGAATATTTTTTATTCAGTAGTGTGATTTTGTTGAATACTTGCTTTGTTTGAAGAGTTGCTAGTCAAGGTACTTAGAATTAATGTAGATTTTTTAAAAATATGTAGCACAGAAATGAATTAATGTATTTTATAGGGTAGCAGTAGATGTATAGGATTTTGATTGTATGTAAATGATGTTTTTTTTCTTTTCCCTAATCTCTGTTACTCAACTTGTTAGTGTTTTGATCTTTCTTAAATCTTTATTTTCCAATTACTATTCTAGTGAAAGGTAGAGTACATTATTCCCTTCCCACCCATCTGTTATAAAAATCCCAGTTACCTGCTTCTCACTTGTTCTCCTTTTTTCCCTACCCTTTACCTTTTCAGGCAGTTAACCTCTTTATCTAAGCAATACATGCTTTCCTTTTACCTTTTAATCTTATGTCTGAAAATGGAATTTTTAATTTATTGCTGATTGGTAGCTTTTGCTTAACCAAGGTTACATATAAAGAAAAAAATGCTTCAAATTGTGCCATTGAGCTCTGCTGTACACTACAGCTTTCACAACTACCACAATTTTGACTAATATAAATGTCTGCTTCACTGCTAAATCATACATGCCTGAGAAGAGCCAGTTAAGGAAGTTAATCAAGCTATTCAAGCACAGTTTACACACACACACACACACACACACACACACACACACGCACGCACGCACACACAGCATTCAGCGTGTGCTTCTTAAATCAGATCATTTCTTTTGGGTACATAATTTGTTTTTGCAGGCTGCGTAATATTTGCTTTATTCATGCTTTAATCAAAGTAAAAATAATCAAACTCCAAGCTATTGATTTGTCAATTCTGCTTATTTTATTTTAAGTCATATTATTTGGCATTTGTGGAAAGTTTGCCTAGCTATATGTTCCATCCCAAAAAGAAAAAAAAGAAGTGCTCCTGTTGTGTTTATGTCTGGCGAAATAGCTTTCTCCCATGTGTCAAACACATCAGAAGAGAAGTATCTTATGTCAAGTTAAACTGTCAAGCATACACCTTTTTGTCTACTGGCAGATGACCTTCACCCTCACTTCACCATTTCTGAATCTTCACTGGTATATTATAGATAAACCTAATGCATAAAATTTTTCAGGGAAACACTGTTATTGAAACAATATCATTGCTTTAATTATTTCTTAATTATATCTACTTTTAATCACCCTTGTATCATCTAAAGATATAGGTACACTTTTAATGAATACGTGTTTAACTCAGCTTCTCTCTTCTATCATTCTAAGAGTATTTTGTGATTCCCTTACAGGCCAAGAAAAGAAAGGTGGTGGCCCCTCCTTTAAAGAAAAGCCCAAAGTGAGTCAAGATGGCAAAAACCTAACCATAGAATGCCGCTGTACAGCTGACCCTCAGCCATCTATAACCTGGTATAAAGGCAGCACTATTATCAAAGAAGGAGTCAGACACAAGTTGAAGATTAGACAAGAGGGAGAAATCTGGATTATCACTCTGGATGTGGCTGTAAGATTTTAGACAACCTCATTTAATTGGACTAGTAGTTCTTGAAAATGTTTTAACAAACTAATGTTTGTCTTCAGTCCATTACCAGAAATAAGTAAGCAATAAAATACTTTTAGCTTTTACTAAGATGATTAATTAGACTTTTTTCTCTTTAAAAATCTTGGAAATTAAAAGCCTCTTCACATTATATTCTATCCCATTTGAACATACGTATACTTAAAATTGTTAGTCTTTCAATTTATTTTATAATTTAAAGTCTTTTATTTACTTTATTTCAGAATTTCTCTGACCAAGATGGCGGCCAGTACAAAGTTGTGGCTAAGAATGATCATGGTGAGGGGAGCGCCAACATCAATCTAAACCTAGAGGGGTAAGGATATTGCTTAAACAGACAGATACCTACAGTACATGTAAATTCACATCGGCATTTATACTGGATGGTGGATTCTACTACTTAAACTCTGAAAGAGAATTTGTATACAAGTATTAAAAAACTGTTATTGTAATTATTGTCTATGAAATTTCCTGGTTCAGCACAAGATTACATTAAAGGGATAATAACTCTTCATATGAGATCTATATTTCTCAATAAAACATTGTGAGTAACTCACAGCATTATAATATATTCTGTTTTACCACAAAAACGGCAGTTATAGCTATTTTTCTGATATCTGAGCTTGTCTTTAGACCACGTGACCTCCATTGATGGCTATACTCTGTTAAAATCTCTTAAGAGATTTTAACAAAAAACCAAACTTTTTAGAAAAAAACCAGGGACTAACTTTGAATGTAAAAATGGATTCATTAACCATGGGTAAGTATGGGAAAATTGTTGTTTACTCCAGGAAAATTCATTTTTTGGCCGAAACGAAGAGTTATTATCCCTTTAACTACTGAGCATGATTTTTATTTGCAAAACACATGCAAACAACTGTGTAAATCTAAGTATTTCTGAACATTTAAATTTAAACAATTGTTTTATTTTTACCAGACCCAAAGAAGTGAAACCAGTAATTCCAGAAAAACCCAGCATTAAACTGGAAGACGGAGGCCGCCGTATGGTCATAGAGTTCAAGATCGTGTCCACTAACAAGCCACAAGCTAACTGGTCTTTCAAAGGAAAACCCATCAAAGATGGTGGCCGTTATTTCCTGGATATTGCTAGAGAAGGAGAGGGCTATGTTATTGTGATGGAAATTGATGATGTAAGAAAATGTGTAATGAACTGAAATAAGCTATGTGTTGGAAAGTAATGAGGTTTTTGCATTCAAACTATTTGCATAATGTTGAAAGAATTAAAAACAATTTAAATCCAAAATACCTTTTTTGTCATTTCATAGCAATATGCTTTTGAAATTAAGGGATGATATGAGCCAATTTAATTGAAAGAGATATTTAGTGCTTGCATGTGCTGCTGCTGAAAAAATCAATGTTATATTGCCTTGCACATAGTTGTAAGCAAATATTATGTTATATTAGACATGTTGTAATTTGTTTTGAGTAATCATCTATTTTTGTTATCATCCTCTAGGTGTCCAATGCTGATTCAGGTGCCTATGTGTGCAAAGTGAAGAATACAGCTGGAGAAGCCACAGCCAACATCAACATTAACATTTCAGGTAATTTGATTCTTCATGGTCTCTGTTTACACCCCTCTATATAGTTAGGCTTGAGCATAATCAAAGTGCATTAATTATGTTTTAGGATTTGGGTATGAGAACTGTGTATCTATGCCTTTAAGTTTGATGAAAAAATTATCATGAAAGTTAGGTCCTGCATATCCTTCAATCTTTTATGTTAAAACAATGCTAAGTTTAATTGAGTCAACAAATATCCATTTCATTACGTGAAAAAGATTAAAACATTAATTATTTATTATTAGTCATTAAATTTAATGAGCAAAATTTAGTATTTCTGTGACCCTGTCATCCTATAAATTCTATTTATTTGCCTTTCCAGAGCTCCTGTCAAAGCTGAAGGTTGGCAAGGATGAAGGTAGGTGCTGTTCTGGGTAAACTGATATATACATATTGCCTTTACTAATACATTTTCATTTGTTCTATATAGGATTTCAGAACCAGTGCTGTGCTTAGGGAGGAAAACCTTGGAAACAGGATATCAAATCAGTCAGAAATGATCCATTACTATGCACATTTCAGCTTTAAAATGTTTTTATTGTAACCATTCTTTCTGTGATTTGTGGATAAGATACATGTTAAGGTAATGAAGGAAAATGCAGTGAAGGAACAGATCTTTAACATTACATGAAGCTGAATGGGGCTTACAATCAGTTGAACACCACACCATGATAAATGTCACTATGGCACCTACAGTACAGCAAATGGAAGATGACTGGAATAAAATGCTTTCGTCAAAGAGTCGAGAGAAATCTGACAACTACTTTGTACTGAAAAAAAGCAACCTCATATTTTATTTTGTATGGATGTGCAGAATTTCATTGTGCAATTATCATATTTGGTATTGCACATAAAAGTGTGTAGATCAAGGGGTCTTACATCTGTCTAATTGTTTGTCTAAATGAGTGCATGTGAATAATATCGTTTACAAAAGGCATGTCTATACCTGGTGTTTTGTTTATGTTTTTAGTTATTTGTATATATTCAGTATTGTTTTTTATATTGTTTTAAGTTTATTGCTTTTATTTCTTTTATATTACTGAGTTAGGATTTCATTTTGGTAAATGATTACTTTGGTTTTTATAGTTTTAGTTTTTTAGTGTATTCTGCTACTTTTTCTTTCTTTTGCCACTTTCTGTAGAAGACAGCTCACAAATGAGTCAAATGCAGATACAGATGGGAGCAGGTGAGAGTCTGGGACTTCTTACTACATCAATACATTATGACACTAAAGTAACAACAAAGCTGAACAAATTTATAAAAAATACTTTGTTATTTTAATGAAAAGCAGAACAAAAAACACCAGCCAAAAGCAGTTTCAATGAATATACATGTATTCAACTAAGGAATGTCAACATAAAAATGAGGTCATCATTTGAGTTAAATAGCTTATAATTAGTACAATATCTGTAATATCTGTAATAATTTAAAGGTAAATAATAGTGCTCCCTCTTTGTACATTATTTAATATCCCAGTTGAGTATTTAAAATGTAATTTTTGTCTTCTTGTACAGAAGATAGTTCTCAGATAAGTCAGATGCAGATAGGTGTTGGAACAGGTGAGCATCTGGGACAAGTTACTTTCATTTCACTACGCTATTATAAAATATGCAGATTTAGTAGCATAACAACATATGGTATAGCATATATATATATATCACTCATTCATGTTGTGACAGTATGTTAAGTCAGACTAACAGGTTTTTCAGCTGAAACTACTGATAAACCATTTTGAATAGTTTCTGGTCAATCTTCTCTTTAGCTGAAGACAGCACTGTTACATCTCAGATGCAGATAGGGGTGGGCACAGGTGAGAAATTTATGATTGATTGGCCAAAAAATAAAATAAAGTTAAATTGGAAATGTGTAACAGATAGTTTGAAGTATTTTATAAACTATAAAAAAATCAAGTTACTTTTAAAAGATGAGTTTTGCAGGGTCATCCATCAAATGATGGGCAGGACCATCACCAAGCCTTAGATTTTGTATTATCATTTGGGTATCTGTTTCCAAAATCTAAAGCAAATGCCAGCATTACATTTTTTTTCACCTGTAACGACCATAGTGTTTTTCAAAATTTCTGGTTCATCTTCTCTTTAGCTGAAGACAGCACTGTGACATCTCAGATGCAGATAGGGGTGGGCACAGGTGAGAATTTTATTATTAATTGGTTGAAAAGTGAAATAATGGTTCATATGTAGTTCAGAGTATCTTATAAAACTATAAAGAATCAAATTACATTTTAAAAGATGGGTCTTACAGAGATATACTTTGAATCGTGGACAGCAGATACTATCACAAAAGCAAATGCTACCATGGCATTTTTTTTATTTCTGGTTAATCCTCTCTCTAGCTGAAGACAGCTCAGTGACATCTCAGATGCAGATAGGGGTAGGCGCAGGTGAGAATATCATATGTTATGATTATGGTAGAAAAGCAAAGTAGGGTTATTAAAGCTGTTTCACAGGCAGTATTATATAAATAGATATAAAAATGAACAAGCTATATTTTCAAAAGATGCACCTCATGGAGTTAACCAACAAATAATCAGAAGTGCTATATCCCCTTAGACTTTTTATCAATATTTTGCCATGTATTTCCACATGTCATATAATTTTTCCTTAATACTAAAATTTCTGCCAATACTCTCTGTAGCTGAAGACAGTTCTGTGACAACTCAGATGCAGATAGGTGTAGGCAAAGGTGAGAAACAGTTTTCTACTCAATAGGCAGAAAAATACTATGGTTATATTTATTAGCAATCTTTCAAAGATATTACAAATTACTGGTATTCTGTAAACAATTCTAAATGTAAAACTATGGGAAATGTGACTTCAGGCATAATGTATGCAATTTTGTTAGAAAAATGTATTTTATATTAAGTGCATCAGAGACATTGCAAATTAACTGATATAAATGTAAAACAAGGGGTAATTCAAAGGAATGAGCAAGCCAAAAGTGTTCAGTTTGAAACAAAAGTATTAGTTTTTGGTGCAATAAATGACCAGCAGCACAATCATATAACAATTAGTATTCATGCAATTCAAATAACCAACCAGGGAGCACAGGTACAAAGTCTTCTCAATTATGCACAATCCTTTCATTCCTTTCATAGCTGAGATAAGTACAACTCAGGTTGAGATGGGCAGTGCTGAGATTGGGGTTGCAAAAACTGAGGAACCCAAACCAGCAGAACCAGGTTAGAACCATTTTGTTGGTGGTTCTTTTGATATTGGCCTCCCATAACTGCTTAGGTTTTTTACTGATGTAACACCTTACATGTAGTATTGTAGCTGAGATAAGTACCATTTCAGTTGAGTTTGACAGTGCTGAGATTGGGGTTGCAAAAATCATGGAACCCAAACTGGTAGAACCCAGGTTAGAACCATTTTGTAGATGGTTCTTTTTGCTTCCCATTTGGCTTCCCATAACTGCTTAGGTTTTTGGATCAATGTTGCAATTTCAAATGGTAATTTGTGAAACTTGTTCATTGATGCAGTATTGTCAGTGTTGTAAAGTAAGCTACCAATCAGTAAATCAGACATAAATGGTATTGATAAATTTGTTTTAGCAACAAAGTGCCATATATGATACAATGTCAAATGGTCGTAGCTGTTATGTTTCAAATTGAAATTGCAGCAGTAGTCTTTAAATGGTGTGTTTCTAATAACAAGTGGCCATTATCCCTTCCTTGCTATATTTCAAATAATAAATTAGTTGTATATGATAATCTTAGTCAAAGATGGCTACAGACTTTTTACAAGTGATAACAAAGAACCAATTTCACTGAAAAAAAGAGGTATTTAGATTGATTTGAATTGTTGCTGGCCTTCTGCTGAAACCATGCCCTTTTTCCTAACTCTAAACTCCTTTCACTTGAACACATTAATAAATTTAATAGTTCTTTTATTCACTGGCCCAACCCACTTTCTACTCCAACCTTTAAAGCAAACATGTCTGCATGTATATAAAATCTCTCATCCTGCTTAGACAGAGGTACCAGGTTTTGATGTGTTTCCCATCTTTTGAAATAATGATACATTTGGATACAATTCTCATTGAAACTTTCTGTTTTTATGTGTGGCTTGGTTTGTATTATTTTCTGTTTATTATTTGATATATTATTTTATTCTGTTTCCTCTTTTAAGTATGTATTGTGCTCCTAAATTGTTTCTGTTGTATATATATATATATATATATATATCAAGACTTTTCAGTAAATATTTAACAGAAGGTGATGCAGGGATGTAAAGATTAGAATACTAGAGTTATTCAAAACTCAGTAATGATTAGATAATGTGTTAATAAGTTATAAGGACTATGGGATCTGTCTGAGGATTTGGAATTCTTTCCTTAAAAATATCAGCGTCCATGACTACCCAAATGACCTTTGAAAGCAGTACCACTGAAGCAGAAGTTTCAAAACTTCCGGAGCCTGCTCCAACATCACAAACAGCCACAACTCAAATGACATTTGAAACTAGTACTGCTGAAACAGAATTTCAGAAATCAGAGCCTGCTCCTACTGCACAAACAGCCATGGCTCAAATGACATTTGAAACAAGCACTGCTGAAACAGAATTTCAGAAATCGCAGGAAACTGCTGCTGCCAAGTTACAGATGACTGCTCAGATGACAGTTGATACTGCAGAAGCAGACATCCAAAAACTCCCAGCACCAGGTTAGGTAGTCTTCCCCCCCCCCCTTTTGCTGTGCAGTCTCCCTGACTTGCTACCAACTATTACTTAAGTCCATGTATCACCCATCCTTTTTATTGTCCTGCTGCACCTTCCCCTCTTTTCAAGAAGATTACTCCTTAATTTAATAGATATATACCCACTATTTGATGACTACCTATACCCCTTATATGTTATTGTTGATTATTTTCAGATAAGTATGATCAAGAATTGAGTTTCTTTCCTTGGATAAATGATTAATGCATTAGTACTTAAACCCTTAACCCTTATCAAATTTTCCTTTCAGTCCAGCTTGTTCCTAGAGGTTCCTCCACCTGATCATCATACCTTTGGGATTATTTTCATTTTTCAAATTTTTTAAAATTATCAATATGTGCTTGGATCTGTTAAGATGCCCTTTATCCTAAAATGATAGTGTAAAAGTATACTCTTTTTCTCAGAACCCGAACCTGAGAAAAAGCCTGAGGAGGAAAAACCTGAAGAAAAGAAACCTGAGGAAAAGAAACCCGAGGAAAAGAAACCTGAAGAAAAGAAACCCGAGGAAAAGAAACCTGAAGAAAAGAAACCAGAGGAAAAGAAACCAGAGGAAAAGAAACCTGAAGAAAAGAAACCTGAAGAAAAGAAACCGGAGGAAAAGAAACCTGAAGAAAAGAAACCTGAAGAAAAGAAACCAGAGGAAAAGAAACCAGAAGAGAAAAAGAAGCCAGAGGAAAAGAAACCTGAAGAAAAGAAACCAGAGGAAAAGAAGCCTGAAGAAAAGAAAAAACCTGAGGAAAAGAAACCTGAAGAAAAGAAACCAGAGGAAAAGAAGCCTGAAGAAAAGAAAAAACCTGAGGAAAAGAAACCTGAAGAGAAAAAGAAACCTGAGGAAAAGAAACCCGAGGAAAAGAAACCAGAAGAGAAAAAGAAGCCCGAGGAAAAGAAACCTGAAGAGAAAAAGAAGCCCGAGGAAAAGAAACCTGAAGAGAAAAA